AGAAAGAAAGAAAGAAAGAAAGAAAGAAAGAAAGAAAGAAAGAAAGAGAGCCGGCATGTATCTCTATGCTGTTCATGGTATATTTTCAGCTGGAACCTCTTTCTACTTAAACCTTAATACAACACCCAGATATTTCAAGCCATTAAACATCTTGGTTTAATCTTGAAACTCTTTGCATACTTGTACTTAAACAGTTTTAATACACATGGCTTCAATTCCAAAGCTACTTTTTATGAAGACCAAGTCATGAAATGGAGATTGGAAATAAAGCAAAGGTTAACCTTCTCATTCTTTCTAACCCCTTCCTTCTTATGTGGAAGTGAGCCTTTCTACTTGCCATTTTATTAACCAAGAATTTACCACCATCTTCAAATTGAAGAGTTGCCTTCCAACAACAAAAAACACAAGTTTGCAAACTGCCCGAATAGTAACACCGCACATAATTTTGTATGTTAAATTTCGAACCACAAAGTGGAAGAGGGAAAATATTTGTGAGAAATATCTACTGTGTTTTTTGTTTATCAAACTTAAAAGGCCATTGGACACTCCATAAAGGTTGTGACAGCAATAGAAGTAATAAAGGCAGCAGCTAGGCAAACTGCTGAATAGTCTGAATTATGCTTTGGAAATTGTGTAATGCATGCTCTGAAATTGAGCAAATGGATGAGACCTAAAGGTAAGCTGTTCTCTACAAAATCCATTCTGAACTTACCACACTAAGCCTGACATGAAAAAGCAGAGCAACTTGCTTGTTTTGAACAGGAGGATATGGAATGAAGAAAGAAGATTGGCTCCAACAGTTTTAGGAGATCGCATAGTTTTGTTTATCTAAAACATTCCCAAGGCAGTAGTAATCAATACTGTATTAGCTGCTCCAAATGGTCTTTTGGCTAAACATTGAATCCAGGCATACTGGATGGCTGGATGCTCCCAGGAGGCTGCAGGGAGGCCTCCTAGGCCCAAAATGGGGCACACGGGAGTGCAGTGTGGCAACCCCCATGGCCCGTTTTGAGCCTAGGAAGCCTCCTTAGAGCCTCCTGGGAGCGAAAACGGGGCACGGGGGGGGCACACACCTCGTGCCCCATTTTCGCTTCTAGGAGGCCTCCCTGCACTTACCTGGGAGCCAGACGGGTCTCATGGGGACTCCTGGGCTGTGCAGGGTGGGGTGAGCAGGGCCAGCTGGTCGTCGGAATTATCGGTTCAGTGAACTGGATGTAAAATTAACATCCGGTTCACTCAAACCGGCCTGAACTGGCTAAATCCCACCCCTGCTTATCAATCCTAAGAGCCGCGATGGCGCAGTGGTTAGAATGCAATACTGCAGGCTACTTCTGCTGACTGCTGGCTGCCTGCAATTTGGCAGTTTAATCTCCCCAGGCTTAAGGTTGATTCAGCCTTCCATCCTTCCGAGGTGGGTAAAATGAGGACCCAGATTGTTGGGGGAAATATGCTGACTCTCTAAGCTGCTTAGAGAGGGCTGTAAAGCATTGTGAAGCGGTATATAAGTCTTAATTGCTATTGCTATTGATGTAATCCCTATTTTACCTCCTTTCAAAATAACTATGATGCAATATTTGTTTTGTAAAAGAAATTTAATTTCACAAAGAACAAGTTTGGTATAGTGGTGAAGGTGCTGCCTAGAAACCAGGAAAGTCTATATTCTGGGCCTCCCTTACTCATGAAAGCTAGTTGGATAACTTTGGGCCAGGCACTCTTTCTGAGCCCAACCCACTTCACAGAATCATTGTGGAGAAAATAGGAGGCAGGAATATTAAATAAGGTCACTGCCTGATCAAAACGTATCCTTTGCAGCTTGGTCCTCATTCATTCTATCTATATTAAAAATATATTTCAAAACACTTATTTCCTATGGGTCACTCATTTAGCCCGTATTCATTCAATGCCCATTAGTCTTGGCCTTACTTGTTTTACAATATATACTCCTAAAGGACCCCATTCCTGCTGTATTTGATTGGTGATTGATTGCATTTATATCCCTCTCCTCCTGAAGCTTAAATAGTTTACATGAGGATCTTTCCTAATTTCACCTCATAAAAACTGCTGAAGACTTAGAGAGAGACTAACCGAAACTAAGCAGTGAGCTGCATAGGTAAATTGGACTTGAACTCTAAGTCTAGAACCATAACCGGTACATTGCATTTCTGTTGTATACCTCCCAGGACCCTAGAAAAATCTGACATCAAAATTGCCTTTGTATTGGTGTGGCTTACAAATGTAACAAGAAAAATAAAAAAGTTGAGATGTTTAGGGAAGAGGAAGTTGTTCAGTTTAATTGCTGATGGGCAGAGGTACATTGAATATTTTAAATGCAAGAACAAAATGTAAATAAAACGTAGTTGCATTAATTGAATAATTTACTATTCCCTAATAGTAAATATGAGGCACTACTTAACTCTGTGGGTTCAGGGAGATACTGGCTACACCCACTTGTCTTCTGATTGCGACAGTCGTAATTGTCAGTTTGATTATATCTTATGGATCCCTTTTGCAAATATGATCTGTATGATTTCATATATGTCTCCAGCACAGCAAGAGCTGGATAAATGCTTTGAAACCTTATTCTGGCCTGTTGTGAACAGACCCAGATTTGAGAAAACAACCACCGGTGAATGCCCACTACCTCAACCTCTGGCAAAAGGTCTAATCATTTGATATGTGGGTTCCCATTCCAGATGTAAATGAATTGCAGTTGTGCCTTTTCTTCTCTAGGCAACTGAACTAGCAGGCTACACTGCTCGTGTGTATGAGATGTTCCGGGTGTTTGAGGATGTGAAATGCTGCAACTTCCGACGCCCCGGAGAACTTGATGAAGGCCACGCTCCGGCTGGGACAGTTATGAAACATGGCATGCGTGTCGAGGGCTCACTCCAGATCCAAGGTAAAGCTCTTCAGCAGATGTCTGGCCTGAAGCACACATATCCCCGCCTGCCTATCCCTGCAGCTGGTTTTGCAATGGCATCCTGCTAAAGATTTCATGTCAGAAACTGACAAGGATCAAATTAAGACCGTAGCCTTGGACGCTCAAGTTTAATTAAGTATTTTGCTTATTGATGAAAGAAAGCATATGGCTGCCACTCCTGTTTTGTGGCTGTAGCTGCAAACATCCAGAGAACAGATGTCTTCTAAGTAAACAGGCACAAGCTCAGTCTATGCTGTGGATTTGCTGAAAACATTTATACCCTGCTGTTTAGCCTGAGTGACTCCTAGAAAAGCTTACATAAGAGTAGAAACAGTCGATCCCTGCCCTCAGGCTCTCAGTCTAAAAATATATGACACAGAAGGAAAATAAACAGGACACACTCCCTCTTAATAACTCACCATTCCTGTAGTGGCCAGTTGTGATGGGTTTGGGGTGCTCCAGAAGGCCTAGCCCTAGATGATACCTTCAGCTCCAGAGGACGTGGTCTTGTTGCTCTCTTCCCAGGAGATCTTATAAGGCAGGGGTCTCCAACCTTGGCAACTTTAAGACTTGTGGACTTCAACTCCCACAGTTCCTCTGCCAGGAGTTGAAGTCCACAAGTCTTAAAGTTGCCAAGGTTGGAGACCCCTGTTATAAGGGATGTGTGGGGAGGCCTCAGCAACAGAGAGGAGAAATGCAGGCTAGTCTCACGCATCCCAGTGAGACAAAAATGTGGCTTATTGGATGTTGGTTTGGTATATTGCATGAATCCTGCCACTGTGGTTTCAAAACCATAGTTAGGATTACTGTAATCAATCAGAGATTATTCAGCAAACCAGTTAAATAAATTGTATCTTAGCAAAACGTATTTATGCTCAGATTTATGGCCTCATGGTTTTCTGTACCCACACTAAATTCTAAATTGTCTTAAAAGAATCAAGAAAAGTTTCCCCTGGTTTTTTTTTTTTTATGGCCTCACATTTCCTGAATGTTTAGGCTGGCTGCAGGCCATGTAAAGTTTCAACAGTCTATTTTTTTTACTTCCAAGTGCAGTTGGTGGAATCCAGATATACTTATATAATTTTAAGCATAATATCTACGAAAGGATCAAATGGTTTTTCGTAATTTGGCTCTCTCCAGATATGTGGGATTCTTTTTTTCCCCAAACAGCCCTGACCATATTGTATGGAAGCAATGGATGTTGCAGTCTAGCTTGTCTAGAGTAGGGATCCCCCAACCCCTGGTCCGTGGACCGGCACCGGTGCCCAGCATGCCAGAAACTGGTCCGTGCAAACAAGCCCCATCCGCGGGATGCAGGCATCACACAAAACCACACCTAATCCTTTGGTCTGTGGAAAAACCTCTCTCCATGGAACCAGTCCCTGGTGCCCAAAAGGTTGGGAGCCACAGGTCTAGAAGGAACCAACTTAGGGAAGACTACAACAGATTCTTCCCAGTTTTACCTGCCCTTCACTGATGTCAGCTGAGGTTGGAAAACTTGGGATGATCATATCATAGCTCCAAATGTTCTCCTGGGACCTAAAAATTAGTTCTTGGACATCTGCCAAATACTTTAATCTGCCAAAAGCAATCCCTGCACTTAAAAAAAAAAAGTACACATTTGGTTTTGATCATTATTCCTTTTGTTTTTAAAAGGACACACACAGAAATTAATTTATAATGTTTTATTTATTTGATATTTTGTTTTAGGTCAACAAAAACTTTACATCAATCAGCAAGATGGTTTTCATAATTTAAAAAAAAGCTTATGAAGGAAAAGCTTGAATGTTTTGCCTTTACATTCTGATGGTTGTATAGGATGTCCAGTCATGTGGTCATACATACACTGAGATAATAAACCTCTGGAATGGGTTTGCTAGGCCTTGCTACCAATTAGTCAGAATTGTCTTGGTTTGATCAGCCCATATTATTTCAGTTTTTTGATGTGCCTTTCTCTAGAGTGTATGCCAAACAAAAAAGAAATGAGAAGTGTACTCTCCAAATGAAGTTTAATTCCACACCTTTGTGTAACTTTTGCAAGATCAGTATATTGAAGGATATACATTTCATAATTTACTTTGTGAGACTTCCTCCTATGTCATTGGTACTAGTTTTGCTTGCCTAAACTTTAGTAATGTCCTGCCTAAGATTTTTGCCATTACCTTGTTCAGATACATCTTTACAGCCTTTTTCCCTTCCTCTATATGTCTTGAGAGATCATTGTTATAATATTCAATATAGTTGTAGAAGTAAGGTGATGTAATGCCTGCAGGCTTTTCATGCTCCTTGTTAAATGTTTTACGGATCCATCTTTTTCACTTATTTGGTGGGGTGGGTACTTTACTACATTATTGGATACCTGTTTGATAGGCTCAATTCAGATATGGTAAACTATATTTTATGGGAAATGTCCCAGGTATTAAGGCCTATTATACACTCAATTTTTTAAAAAGTAAATAGGAAACAGTATGTAGCAAAGCATCAGATCTGATTGCCTTCTGTATTTATAAGAATATTTCTGAATTCTACATTAATTTTACAAAATATAAATTGCCAAATATAAATATATATTTTTTTAAAAAATATAAATTGCCAGATGGCCACAGGGAAAAATAGCCAAAAATTAGCAGAGGTGTGAGGAACATCCTGCAAAGAGAGATTAGAAATAGTTTGGGGAATAACTTTACTAGATCAACATCTGATGACTGGCTATTCTCTCTATGGCAGTGGTCTCCAACCGTGGCCAGTTTAAGCCTGGAGGACTTCAACTCCCAGAATTCTGGAAGTTGAAGCCCTCCAGGCTTAAAGTTGCCAAGGTTGGAGACCCCTGCTCTATGGTACCCCTTAATAAACTGTAAAGCCTTGATTTATTTTATCAATGGTTAGATAAAAAGACATGGTGAAGAAATAGATTAGTAAGCCTCACAATAAAAGTTAAAAGATTGATATAGAATACAATATAAAATATATAACCATTGGATGAATGTATAAGATTAAACCATAATGAAATTTAGAATATCTCGTATAAAATGATGGAAAAATAGTTTAGTCAAATGAATGTTTAATAATTGATATTACATAAGCACAAGCTAGATTGATAAGGTGAGAATTTATATAACTTGTGAGTAATGGTAAAAAAAAAAAGATAGCACAAAAGATTGTAACCAACTGACACACTGTACGTATATAATTGAAAGAGGGTTTTATGTTTTTATGTTTTGTTTGTATGTTTGTTGTAAAAAATAAAAACTTTTTTAAAAAATAAAAAAAATAAACTGCAAAGCCTCAACAGCAGCCATGAATGTGCCCACACCATGCTGTAAAATCTCAGTGTCTGTTGTCTCAGGTTCCACCTATATGAAATGAGTCACAGAGCAAAAGAAATCATTGACAAAGGGTTACATTTGTTTCTTTCAATGGAGAAGGTCAGCATCTCTTGGCCATGAAATGCTTCTTTCATGGTGAATTTATATAAGGCTCTGTCTTTTCTTCTGCTTACAGGACATGTGATTGATGTGGATCATGGGATTGTCTGTGAAAACATCCCCATTATCACGCCCACCGGGGATGTGGTAGTCACCAGCCTCAATATCCGAGTAAGTGGTCAAGGCATTCGTATAGGGCAAACTGAATGTGTAGATCCTGATGAACTACAACACCAAGCAACTTTCCATGACTAATGGAAAGAGAAGCTGGAAATTGTAGTTTGACCACTTCTGAAATCCACGGGAAGGTGGACTGTGAGTAATAGGAGGACGGGGACTGGGATAGCAGCACTGAAGCACTGATGAAAGTTGAGGTGTTATATTTCCGAATCTAACTGCATCAACATGGGAAGCAATTTAAGATTACTTTCATTGAGTAAGGCTGCCAACTTTTGAACTGGCCCTGTGAAGGTATTATTTTAATAGGCTCCAGCTACTCAGGAATTAGTAGGTGCAGTGCTGAAAAGCTTCCCCTCGGAAGTCTGTAAGTCAGCTTGAGATCAAAGGGGCAGATCAAAACCCTTTATTTTCAGGGTTAGTTGATATAGTAGTCCTGTTGGCAAACACGTTAACTCTGCCAGCGTTTTTCTGGCCATTGTCTCTCTGTATATTCCTGGACAAAGTCCTGACATGGAAAGGAGATAAGAGCGCCAGGAGGCAACTGCAGGGCATTCTGTTGGCTAGAATTCAGAGAACAGGAGATCAAACAGCAGCAGCAGAGGAGTACAGAAGGGGAAGGGCTAGGGATTCTCACCTGTTTCAGGGCCAGGTAGGATGGCTTATGTGTTGAGAGGTCATGTGTGTTTTGATGGAACTGATAGATAACCTCTGGTCTTTATAATTTTGCAAGAAGGCTGGGAATGCAACAGGAGCTTGAGACCAGATTGAGAAGAGAGGTAGTGAGCTGATGGGGCTCATAGATTGCTTTTAGAGCACCAAATGGATCAAGTAAGTTGCCTGGACAAATACAATTTTTATTGTAAACGTTGTGCGATATTAGGGTGGGGGGAGCGTGGATCCTGAGAAACATTTAAAGCTGCCAAGAATTGGGGGGGGGGAAATGGGGAGAGGCTATTTATTCCTGTTGTTGTTGTTAGTCACACAGGCTAGATTTGGCAATTTTATCCACCTATCGAGTTTCCCAAGGGCCTGGGATAGGCAGATGTTGTTTGATGGTGTTAGAGGTATCATTGGAGGATGTATGCCATTCCAAGTAAAGCTGCCTTTTGCAGTTATCCAGTGATGGTTTTATCAATGCTAGTGATATTCAAGTGTTGCTCCGGGTGTTTTGGGATATTATTGTTGTTATATTTTTATTCTTCCTTTTTTCATATTTTGCTCTGTGCTTTCCCCTTGCAGGTCGATGAAGGTATGCACCTCCTGATCACTGGCCCAAATGGCTGTGGGAAGAGTTCCCTTTTCCGGATCTTGGGAGGGCTTTGGCCAACTTACAATGGCACCCTCTACAAACCACCTCCTCATCGGATGTTTTATATTCCACAGAGGTACAGTGGCTAGTATGACAGGGGAGGGTGGGGAACTAGAGACCAAACAATAGAGAGGTTGGCCCTCTTGAAATGATTCGGGTTGAGTGAAGAATGGTATACTTATGAACATGAAAACTCTAGATCCCAGAGATTTGAACTTTAGTTGCCCCAAGGTTTCGATCTTTTTTTCATATTGGAGAAAAAGAAGTGGTGTGCTGAAGAATGCCCTAGTTTAAATCTCTGCCCTGTCATGAGATTTCTAGATAACTTCATGGAAACTACTCTTGCAGCATTCTGGAGCTTTCCAGTTTGATTAAGTAGCAGATTTCATCATCCCAGGATGGCTATTGTGCATGCTGGCTGGCGGTGATGAGAACCCAGCTGAAGGCCGCCAAGCTGAGGAAGGTTACCCTCAGCTTCTGCCATCTTCTCCATGGCTTGCTTGCTCGTCTGACACAGTGACACAGCCTCCTTTAAAGAGCTGTCAACACGCTAACGGTGGGGCGTTTCTGCCGCTCTTCAGATGCCAATTGTTTTCTTTACTTGGCATTTCACTGTAGACCATACATGTCTGTGGGCACCCTGAGAGACCAGGTGATTTACCCAGATACGGCCAAGGACATGGGACGGAAAGGACATACCGATTCTGACCTGGAACAGATCCTGGATGTCGTCAACCTCAATTATATTGTTCAGCGTGAAGGAGGTACGCAGCTCCCTGGCATGGATGGAGAAGGTGGCAATCAAACACCTTTGAGTTCTTTTACTGAGGAGAAATGTATCCTGTGCCTCATCTTGCCGTTGGCTAACATGATGCAGCAGACAGGAAATTGGGTAGGTGGAGAAAGTAGACATACAGAAAAAGTAGAGCCTCTTCTTTAATTATTTTTCAATCAGGTTGGGAAGGCGTCAACGATTGGAAGGATGTACTTTCTGGTGGCGAGAAGCAGCGAATGGGGATGGCCCGGATGTTCTATCACAGGTTAGTGCCTCGAACTGCATTTCCATTTGTACTTTATACCAGGGGATGCCAGAAACCACCCCGTGTAAACAAGCGAAGCCCCAAACACGGGATGCAGGCAGCACTTGAAACCATGCCCCTTCTGGTCTGGAGAAAAATCTGTCCCCACGGAACCGGTCCCTGATGCCCAAAAATGTTGAGGATGCTGCTTTATACCACTCCCTGGTGATGCTGGATTAAGTCACACAAAGAGCCTCCAAAAAAATGTCGGCTGGGGAGAAGTGGTCAAGATTAAGATCAGTTGATTTGATCAACCACCACTGTAATCACAGAAGATTCCCAGTACTTAACAATATAGACATAAAAACAAAATAAAACTCTAAACAGCAGCAACCACAATAATAATGATAATAGCTTAATCCAAGCCGGGAGTGGCCACTTGCCTTATTTCCTGAATTGACTTTGAAATAATTTCAACTTACATAGTATTTGGAAAGCAGTTGAGCCTGCCAAAGAACAAGATTGTTCCAGAAGGAAAGTGCCCTTTGGGTCTCTGCTTCCTTCCTTTCCCATGAGGTGGTTACTGGCTTATTATTGTAATTCCAGTAGAAAGACATTATATTGTCTCTTATATTGCAAGAGACAGGAATAAAGAAAGGGGGCAGCACACCACGGGGAATGATGGATGGGGTCCTGGACTAGTGAAACAGGCATTTGGGATCACTGACTTGGGCCCTCCCTTCCTTGTCCCAGGCCAAAGTACGCGCTCCTCGATGAATGCACCAGTGCCGTCAGTATTGATGTGGAAGGCAAGATCTTCCAAGCAGCAAAGGATGCAGGAATAGCATTGCTGTCCATTACGCACCGACCTTCATTGTGGTATGTCTTGTTCTTCACCTGGGATATTATGATGCTTTATACCAGGGGTGTCAAACTTGATTTCATTGAGGGCTGCATCGCCGTTGTGTTTGATCTTGGGAGGGGTGTGGCCAGGAGGCGTGGTCTGATTGACATCACTCGTGTCAGGGCGCCTGTGGTGACCCTAGAACTTTGTCAGTGAAAACCACGGGGAATGACAGATGGGGCGAAAACGGGTTCCCAATCTCCACTTTCAACTGGGACAGCCTCCTACAACCCTCTGCCAGCAAAAATGGAGTGGTCCTCCCAAGCTCCATTTTCACTGGCAGAGAGTTGTAGGAGGCCATTCCAGCCGAAAACAGAGATTGGGAGCCCGTTTTCACTGGCAGAGGCACCATAGGCCAGTCCTTTGCTGTTTCCAGGGAGGCCCTGCGGGCCAGATCTAAGCACCCCATGGGCCGGAGTTTGACACCCCTGCTTTATAACTTTACTCCCTTGCTTTAAAATCTGTGGTTTTTGTTTTTTATTTGAATAGATATATCACACTTGCAGCACATATTCCCAGGGGTTCCTGATTAGTTCCTCCAAAACAACAAGGCCTCTTGTGATATTAATCTCTAAGGTATCACAAGATTCTGTTGTTTTGCATTTACTGTAGCATTGGGTTTCTATGAATTACATTCCATTTCATTGGGATAATAAAAAAGGAATGATAAAAGCAGCCGAAATACAATGAAAATTTGGGGAAGGAAACATCATTAGGAGGTCAAGTGAAATGTAGGCGGTGCAGACGCTGACAGTTACAGTGCCTATAAATAGTGGCTATTCATGAAACTGTTTTGGTTTTGACAGCAGTCATTCCTACTGCCAAGTTAACTGAAACTTACTGATTGGATTCAGAAAACTTACAAAGCCATTCGATGACTCACATCATGTTTCTGCTAAATGAACCCACGCATTGTGGCTTGTAAGATGATCTGTGAATCAAGCTGTATTATAATAAAAATGTTCATATCTATTTAACCCATGAGAAATAGTATTATTTTTCAGTGAAGTTATAAGCAGTCCTTACTTAGCGACTGCCTTATTTAGCAACCACAGCTAGAATAGTGATGAAAAAAATAAGTTTGTGACCAGTTCTCGCATCTACAACTTTCCTGTAAAACAAAGGAAAACTGAAGTGAGATCATAAACACAGTTGAGTTGCCAATCCTGATTGTGGTTGCTAAACAACCACATTTTTTTTGCTTTTGGATTAATACATTGTGTAAACCGTCACTTTCAAATTATGATTTATTGTTGTTCTGATCCAGTCACTTAATGGTCTTTAGTAAAACATGAATAAGCAAGTCACGGATGTCATGTATGGAATGAGCTATACAGTATGTTAGAGCCTCAATTCAAACATTCTCTTACAACACTGCATTACACCACAGTTTTTCAAATTATCCATAATTGGACAAATTCATATTTCATGCTAAGCCACTCAGTATATCAGGAGTAAGAACTTGTGACATTCTAAAAATCAGTAAACTACAAAGTTCTTTGCAGGATCCAGTATGTCCTTTCTTCTTTTATAAGTTCTTTCTTCCTTTGCAACTGTCTATAAATGCTAGGAACTATACTATAAAGTAGTGATGGCCTTTTTAAGCTGGAAATCAAGGTTTCAAAACCAGATTCACATAGCATGCTGGGACAAAAGCAAGCAGTGCCGTATTATGCCTTAGCTTGATATGCAGTCCAGTCTCATTCTTTGTTGCTCAACATTCCCTGTGGAATTCTCTGTGTCCTTTGTCTTCATGCAGAGTTGTTGGGAAAGTAAAAAAGCTGGAGAATTCTTACTAGGTCCTTTCCCTGAAATCCAGCCATATATTCCTGCCTGAGAACACACACCTCATCTATTGGTGTGTGTGTGTGTGTGTGTGATTGATTTGATTAACAAAGGGAAGGAATTCCGAAAGAATTCCCGTGTTATTACTTTTGCTTTCACTCATCCCTGAGATATGCCTGGCAACCCTCCATGATAGCGCCAGGGGCAGGGATATGATCTTCCAGGAAGCCTGTGCCAACTCAGTGCTTCCCCTGACTGCAAATTCTTTCCTTGTACTACTGTAGAAATCCCTTTTTTTAAATCAAGTCCTCACCTACTCCATAGCCAAAGGATTCTCAGTTGGGCAGGTCAGGAAAGTGGGCCTAGGAGCCTGGAGGCAGAATTTGCCACTGCTTTGGTGGCCAGGAGCTGGTTCCTTTTCCCTAAAGGAGGGACAAGAAAGGAACTTTTTCCACAGGATCTTCTTCCCTAGGAATCCTGGGCCTTTAAGAAGCCTTTGTGCCAGGAAAAGAGGCACTTGCTGAACTCATTTTTGCAGTTCATACTGCAAAAAAGGGGACAGGGGACCTGTGTGCTGAATCTGGCAAGCCTCGAGCCAATCCATTTTCCAAGCCTCATCTTTCCTCTCCCCCACCGGCCCCCAGTTATACTTCCTTTCCCTCCTCCATTTCTCTCTCTCTCTCTCTCTTTCTGTCATGTCCCTGGCTGCTCTCCCAAGCAGAGAGTCATGTCCTCAGCAGGAAGTTGTGTGGGCAGGAGCACCACGGTTGTCATCCCCGGAGACTGAGAGTGGTTTTGTTTCTGACTCTCCTCCCAGGAGACAGCTTAGTGGAAAAATCCCTCCCCCCCCAAAAAAAACCCCTCCTACACATAGGACATTTGTCTAGAGAGGAATGAAGAACAGCAACCGAGCCAGCGTGGGCGAGGTTGACCTTGAGCAAGGAGAAAGATGGCAGGCTGAATGCAGAAGTTGTATCCCGGAACGGTCTCTCAATAGCCTCCATCCTTCTTTTCAGGAAGTACCATACCCACCTCCTCCAGTTTGACGGGGAGGGTGGCTGGCGGTTTGAGAAGCTGGACCCTGAAGCCCGTTTCTCCCTGCGGGAGGAGAAGCAGCGCCTGGAGCAGCAGCTGGCTGGCGTCCCTGAAATGCAGCAACGTCTCAGCGAACTCTGTCAAATATTGGGTGAAGATGCGCCTTCTACCGTGGGATAGATTGGTGATTTGGGTGCCTTCCAATCTCCCCTGCTGGCTTGGTGAGAAGGATCCTAACTGCGACACGCTCACCTCAGGAGCTGCACAAGATGGCCAGTTTTTGTCCCAGCCACCCAAGAAGCTGTTGAGGATACCCCTGTGGGGGCGGGGCATTATTTATTTCTGGCACCCATTGATTTATTCTTCTGCCTCAGTTTAGGGCTGGAGGAAGAAAGGGGTTGCCCCACACTGCCAATATCTCTGAAGCCAGCCCTTTCAATCCCCACACACATGGTGCCTCAATACCCCTAGATAGTACAAGTTCTTCACTAGTGGGAATTGCACTGCTCCACTGCCAAGTCTTGAGCCTCTTGTACCCATGGACTGTTTGGAGTAACTTCTCAGCTACTGCCACCTCACCAACCCAGAAACTTCAGCTAAATTGATCACAGCCTTTCTTCGCAGAAACGCCACACATATAGCACGAGTGGAAGGAGCTCTTGCCGGCCTCTTTCCTTCTGGCCCCCACAGCTAGGCTGCAACGTTTGGCTCCACTGACAAGTTTCTGGTACCCAAATTGAGGGGTGTCTCCTCCTTCTTTAAACAGCCCTGAAGGAAAGCAGAAAGTTTTAAGAAGGTCACATTCTGTTAGGTTGGTTGTGTTCTATGAAATGCAGATTTTTTTTCCCCAGGCACTTACCCATCGTGTCATTAAGAAACTCTTTGTGATATAGGGCAAGTTGCCTAAGGAGGTCCCGGATCTCTGAGCTCTGACCTTCTGAAGATTTTGTGTCTCTTGTTCTGAGCATGCTCAGATGGTGCCAAGGTTCACCGTCAGTTTAATGATTCAAACTGTGTTGCCGACATCTTTGTAACCTCTAGGATCTCACCACTGCATTCGAAGGATGCTTAGTAAACACAGACGTGGGAAAGTCTTCCTGAAATGGGAAGAAAACCACTGTCTGGGATTTACCTTAAGGTTGTTATCTTGCAAGGTCAGATTTTGCAGTTTAGACTATCAAGCCATTCCCAAAGGTTTATCTACACGCCTTCTGATATGGGGAAGGCCTTCACTTTGGGGAGGAAGTGACCCTTTATTGAGGGAGCTGTATTTCAATATCACTTGCCAATGGAACTGGGTCCATCAAATTGGAATTTCCTCGAGAGACTACACCAGAATTTCCTAGAAATATTTATGTTGTAAGCACTCATTTGATTTAGACTTTCTGACGTTCTCATTTTCTATAGACCACGAGAGGCTATGCGGGTTCCCAATGCCTGAAGCAGGATACACGAAGGCATATTTATTTGCAAACTATAGAGCTTTGCCAATTTATTTGCACTGGAATAAAATCCTAGTCTGTCTTGACTGAGGATAGAGCACATTGTAGCTCCTGTCTCAGCTACTGTGTGCATATTATTTTATCCTGCCACTTTAACTGATAGGATTTGTAGAGGGATTACACTAGATAGGAAAAGAATAATTGGGTCCCATTTTAGGAGACTTACATTGGATTATTCTTACCATTGTTGTGGTATTGTTGGTCTGCCTCCACCCCCACCCCACCCAAAAAAAAAAACCCAATCCAAAATCAAGAGGTGGTGAGAATTCTTACTGTCATGATTTAAAGTACTGATATCAACTTTCTCCTTATGAAACAAAAGACCGACAAACTATTATTAACGTTAGCTCCAAGGCCCACCCAACAGTTCCTTTTAGTGGCAACTTCATTAAAGCTGATGCCAATCTTTCAGACTGTCTTGGCCCACAATTCCTTTGTATCCACATTGGGTTGAATCTGCCTGTGCAGAATAATGAGGCATTTCGTGGAGATAAAAAAAAAAACTGGACAGGTTCAGATTTTTGCAAGCTGTTGTATTCTTTAAAAAATTAACTCCCTCGCTTCTCCCTCATAATTAAAACAAAACAAAGAACAGCACAACAAGGGAAAAAAATAACCTTTTCTCCCACACATGCCCCTTGAGGAAATGTTGGATTTCTGTGATTGCTCAAAAGCCTGCAGTTCAAAGTAACACTGCTGATTTCACCACATTCAGCTGAATGAGCGGATGCAACCTTTTAGTTCCGCCTTTCTGTTCTGTAGAAATAAGAAAGTCACAATCCCACAGTTGATGCTTTCTGCGGATCAAAAGAGGGGACTCTTTAACAGTTCCATGCTGCTCTCTACCATCTCCTTTACTCCCACAAGAACTTGTGGTATTTGCTACCAGTGACCCTTCACCGCTTATGACCCCATTGTTATATTTTCCAGCCACAGACCCATCAAGCCCAGCTGTCCCAATCTCAACCAGTATAGTCCAAGCAATTTATAGGGAGGTTTCAGTCTGCATCAAAATACTTGTCTCGTGCCCTCTGGAACAGATCTTTTAATTCAGATTGTACTAAGCCAAAATAGGAGTGGGTTGATTTGTGATGTAGGGCAATATTGTGATTTGTAAAAACAACATGATTCTCGGCTTGACATGAATTCATCCAGCTATCTTAATCAACAAAACATTGTTTTGAATGAGAGTTTAGAATGACGTGTGAAACCTGTCGATTTGATATAAGAGCAGGTAGGATATTGGAGAGAGTTTCCCGATGCTGGGAAGCTTGATGAAGGAAATTCATCATCTTCTTTTCCTTCCTCTCCTTTACTGTATGGTGTAAGTGACTAGTTTTATTTACTGTGTGTCCGCATTTTGTAAAGTAATTTGAAATAGCATCAGATCTATTGTGGGCCATTTTATGAGCCTGGTATGTTCTATCTACTCTTCTAGAAAGCAAACAAGCAAGCAGAACTGTTTTATTGCTTATGGGGAGGGGGAGAGAACAGCAAAAGCCAAAGAGTGTGCCATTGGGATTGAGTGTCTGTCAAACGTAAAAGTCTCACTGCAGCGCATAGCTATTTCCATTTATTCAGCTTTGATGTCAAAATCATGCAAACTATGCAACAAAGATTTTCTTGGTAGTTTTGGACAGGCAGGACTACACACTTTAGTCTTTCTTCTGTCTTCACAGTGCCTTTTATACTGGCAAAGTCAGGTTTATTCAGATGATGTTTAATAAATATGATAAAACACAAAACAATTGTCTGTGTGATTGTGGGTTCATCAGCATATGTCAGAAATGGGAATCAGAAAGTCTTCAAAAGTTTGAAAGAATCCCAATATTATAGCACATGATCCTGTCCTCATTCACTACAATAGTTATTCCCCTGGAAAGGACCTGTCATAATCTGCAGAGACAATCAAGGTGGACAATTTGCTCTTATCATTACAGTGTAAACATGAAGGTGAGCTCTCACCATGGTTGCCATGGAGGCAACAAGTTCCTGAGGCCTTCCAGAGCTCACTCTCTGGGCCATGGAGTCCCAGAAGGAATTGTTCCAGCAAGCCTTTTCTAATTACTTAATCTATCTGGCACAGGCAAAACTTGATCAACAAGACATCTCTCTTATAAAGCCAAATCTTCCAGGCAGATTTGGGACACTTTTCGGCCACTTTTAGTTCCACCATCTGCTGCTAAGGAATGTTTTGCCTCTCCCCTAATTAATTTCATAATTATTTTATAACCAGAACTGGGGGGAAAAATCCAAGTTATAAATTTAGCATAAATTTAGGGTCCAGCATGGCAGATTTGAGTAATTTAAATGATACTGCATTGTGTTATTGTATGCTTAACACCTGCAGGATATTACACTGTGATCAATTGGGAGAACCAGCCTTCTCATCTGCCAGAGCAAATAAGTCAGAGATTGAGAAAGACCCCTTCGTAGGAATCGCTGTGAATTCTAAAAGGGGTGAGGAAATTCACTTTCTGAGATTTGTGTAGCCTTACCCTAAACTTTCAATCAATCCTGGGAAGTCTTATTTTTTGTAGCGATGGGGCAGCCAATAACTTGACATACAGAAATTTCCTTTTTTTCTTCCATAATAAAAGAGATGAGTGCTAAAATAATTTCAGAAAATCTGACCCTCCCTAATACCACCATTTCCTCTGATCATTTTCCTTTTGTAAATTCTTTTTCCATCAATATTTTCAAGATTCCAGAAACACACCTTTCTTCTTCCTTTGCTGGAAACCCCGCCCCCTCCCATCTGTCAGTATTGTTGCTCATCCCTACAGCTATTTTAAAAACTATAGAAAATTTATTCAGGAGTAAATACTTTTAGCAAAAGATAAATAGTTGAAACAACTAAGGAAGTATTCAAAATGTGTCTGGCTTACCCGGTCAAGGTTCCTTTCATTTTTTTTTAAAATCACCTTCACTAAGTTCTACTACTATCCTCAGATAAGAGAACAGAACCTCTGTTATCAAAAGCTCTGGTAAGAGATCAATGTTTTTTTTCATCGAGTGTTACAAGAAACTTAAGATTCCTGGATTATTATTATTTTATTTTTTTTAAAGTATATTTCATTTGGATAGTTATTTTTTGGTATTTTCACTTCAGTAATTTTATTTTCAGCATTTGAACTGTTTTATGGACATACTGCAAGTTAGTTTAATTTAGTTTAATTTAATTAGTTAGTTTAATTTTTCTTTTGTGTTTATTTATCAGGTTGTATCAGCTTTGTTTTTATTTTGTGTCTGACATTCTACAGAGTCCATTTGTCTTGTGTTATCAAGATTCTGCTGGTGGCCAAGATGAAGCCATTACCTGCGGTGCTGGTGTTACTAGAACTATTGACCAACCTTGCGCCATCAAAAATTATTGTCACGTCTAAATTCCACTAGTGTCACTAGTATCACATTTCTGTGGTTTTAGTTCTAATCTCACTTTTTGTAATGTGCAATGGTTCTGTTTCCCACAATTCTTTCTTCAGCCAGTATTCCTCAGTGCCTCGTGTTCATCCTTCTTTAGCAGGGTGCAATTCTTCCTTTGGGTACTTTGATGTCTTCTTAGAATGTAATCTCTATATATAAAAGCGAAATATCACTCACGCATCATCACAAAATCTCTAGAACCTCAAAGTTTACAAACTTAAAATTTGGCACGTATGTTCCTCTTGGCTTCCAGGTGCTCACTAAAAAAGGATTTTTCAAAATGACCATCAGACCATTAATATTTCATATATTATTATTAACACACTCAGATCAGTGGTGGGGTTCAAATTTTTTTACTACCGGTTCTGTGGGCATGGCTTGGTAAGTGTAGCAGAGGAAGGATAATGTAAAAATCTCCAGTCAGAGGTGGTATTTGCCGGTTCTCTGAACTACTCAAAATTTCCGCTACCAGTTCTCCAGAACTGGTCAGAACCTGCTGAATATCACCTCTGGCTCTGATGCTAAGGAGTTCTACTCTCCCTCCTCACCTGAAAATAAATATGTTCCAAATGCAAAACATAAGCAGAGGAGAGGAGTTTCAGTTTTAGTTTCACAGCAGCAACCAGCTTTAGTACAGAACAGTAGAGCTAAGCCACGCCCAGGTTCCTTGCTGTCTCCTTCTTGCTCACACAGCAAATACTGTTTCAATTCCCAAACACACTGACAGGATGCTAGCCAGATGAATACCGATGGATGCTGGGCCAACTAAGCCCGACCACATAATTAACTAAGCCCGACCACATAATTTTGTAGTGAAGCATGGGTATCGAGCTCATTGTTACATAATATGTACACAATAGAGGCCTATTCTTCTGTCCCTTTTCTGGATAACAGAGTGTGGGCACTCCTTTCTAAGCACCTTGGTAAATCCTGAACTGGCTGTTCTCAAAATGAACAATGAATGCGGGCAAGGAAGATGCTATACAGGTAGTCCTCGACTTACAATGGTTCATTTAATGACAACAGCACTGGAAAAAGTGACTTATGAATCTGACCAATTTTCACTCTTATGACCATTGCAGCATTCCCCGTGGTCACATGATTTGGATGATTGACAACTGACTCACATTTAGGATGTCCCAGAGTCATGTGATCCCCTTTTGCGAACTTTCGACAAACAAATTCAACGGGGAAGCCGATTTCACTTAACAACCGTGTAACTAATTTAACAACTGCAGTGATTCACTTAACAAATGTGGCAAGAAAAGTCGTAAAGTGGAGCAAAACTCACGTAACACATTTCTCACTTAGCAATATAAATTCTGAACTCCGTTGTGGTCATATACCTGTACTCCAAACTCACCACCCAACCTTTCCTCGTTTTGACGGGAATCCACTTATTACGGGACCCCTCAGTGGTGAGACACCAAAAGATTCCATTAGGATTTTTTCTTGAAAGGCCCTCATCAATAAAATCACCAACCCCATAACTTTCATTTAATGAATATTCATTGGATTTGTTGATTCCCCACAGCAGGCGTGGCACAGTATGCCTTGGTTGCCTCACATCTGGATTATGCGGGAGTCTATTGGCCAGACTACTTAATACCAATTAATTTCCTGAGTTGCATGACGTTAGACAAGTGCCCAAGGATACGTCATCTCAAAAGCAATCATGTCAGGCTGACAAGTGTAGGTTTATTTTTTAATGATCAAATCAGTGTGCAAATGGGAACGCATGAATCCTTTTTCAAAAGGCAAAAGGGGTTGTTTCATTTATTTAGGCCAAGCTGGATGTTTTGGGGGGAAAGTGCTGAGGCTGCAGTCCAGAATGTCCGTGTCAACAAGATGTGACCAAAGGTGCAATGACAATAAACCCCAAGGTAACCAAGCTCAGTTTCTTTCTTTCGAAATTCATCCTGGCTGAATGAAAGCTAGACAAACTGCATTGAAGGGATAAGGTTATTCATCACTGTGCAGTAGATAAAACTCTAGAGAGTTTCAGAATACATCTATGTCAAGATGGCTTGTGGTAAGTAGTAGCTGTGGTCATTGTCTTTTCAGTCTTTGTTGTGGTTAGGGCTCAGAAGGAATTATCTGAACTGGAACTAGGAGCAGGAGGGAGCAGAGAAAGTCAGAGAAGGACACAAACTTCTATCTTGCATGAAGGTTCTAAATATGACCATTACACAACTGGACTTTTGTTGAAATCAGTTGAAACAGGTAGTCCTCAACTTAGATCTGGTCGTTGAGCTTAATTACAACAGACCTGCTCCCAAAAGATTTGAAGTTCCCACAATCCCCTCTCCCCTAGCAGACACATTTCTGCATCTTAGATGTTCAGCAACATTTACAGCCATTTGCAGCATCCTGTGGTCACTTGACCATGATTTACAATGGGTTTTATTTTTGCCAGAAACCAACGTTTATTTATTGTTTCCAGCAAAAAACACACATACCCCACAGCAAACAATGGGTTTTGATCATTACATCTGCTTGATGATCACACAAAAAAGGTTGTAAATTGGGTGGGGTCGTGTGATGACTGGCTTAACAACTGGCACAATTTATGAGCCGAATTGTGGGCTCAATTAATAAGTCAAGGATTACCTAGAGCCGTGATGGCGAACCTATGGCATGTGTGCCACAAGTGGCACCCAGAGCCATTTGTGCTGGCACGCGAGCTGCAGGCAC